TCTATCTATCTATCTATCTATCTATCTATCTATCTATCTATCTATCTATCTATTTATCTATCCATCAGCCTATCGAGCTATCTATCAATGTATTGTCGAAGGCTTTCATGGCTGAAATCACTGGGTTGTTGTAGGTTTTTCCGGGTTATGTGGCCATGTTCATCCTGAGGATGCTTGCCATAGATGCAGGCGAAACGTCAGGAGAAAATGCCTCTACAACATGGCCACATAACCCGGAAAAACCTACAACAACCCACTATCTATCTATCAACCTGTCGATCTACTAATATAATAACAACAACTTCATTATGACATCTCAGCCTCATCTCCCCAAATGGACGCAGGGTGGCTTTCATGGAGACCAAGCCCAGCAGAACCAAGAATTTCAAGCTAAAAGACAACTAAAGCATTGTAATATATAAACAAACTAATTCAAACAATTCAAACCAGAAGAGTAAAACCATCATACTCATCCAAGTGTTTTGGACTCCAACTCCCACCATTCCTAACAGCCTCCACTAGTTCTTTGTTTGTATATAATTCAGATTGCTTACTGTATTGTATACGTGTGTATTGGTAGGCAGTTTTCATAGAATCATAGAATCCAAGAGTTGGAAGAGACCTCCTGGGCCATCATCCAGTCCAACCCCATTCTGCCAAGAAGCAGGAATATTGCATTCAAAGCACCCCTGACAGATGGCCATCCAGCCTCTGCTTAAAAGCTTCCAAAGAAGGAGCCTCCACCACACTCCCTCCAGGGCAGAGAGTTCCACTGCTGAACGGCTCTCACAGTCAGGAAGTTCTTCCTCATATTCAGATGGAATCTCCTCTCTTGTAGTTGGAAGCCATTCCTCCATTGCGTCCTAGTCTCCAGGGAAGCAGAAAGGAAGCTTGCTCCCTCCTCCTCCCTATGACCTCCTCTTACGTATTTATACATGGCTCTCATCATGTCTCCTCTCAGCCTTCTCTTCTTCAGGCTAAACATGCCCAGCTCCTTAAGCCGCTCCTCATAGGGCTTGTTCTCCAGACCTTTTATCATTTTAGTCGCTCTCCTCTGGACACATTCCAGCTTAGAGTCAATATCTCTCTTGAATTGTGGTGCCCAGTATTTTGCCCCCCCCCCCCCATTCTATTAGGCCTGTTCAATGCATGGTTCTAAATCGACGGTTCTCAACTTGAGGGTCGCAACCCCCAAGGGGGTCGTTCAGACATTTGGAAGGGTCACGAGGCTGCCTCATTTGGGCCCCCCCCCCAAGTCTTTGGCCCACCCCCCAAGGCTTTGCACCAGGCCAGGCTTAGCGTGAAGGAGTCCTCACCTGCCTCACTCTCGCTGGCCAGCAAGGGCTCATTCGCGCGAGGCCTGACCTTGTGTAAAGCCTGCCTTGCCTGATTTGCACTCTCAAAAATAATTTTATGGTTGGGGGTCACCACAACATGAGGAACCATATTTAGGGGTCACAGTGTTAGAAAGGTTGAGAACCTCTGCTCTAGACCATGGCCATATAGCCCGAAAAAACCTACAACATCTTCTCAGGGAGATTCCTGGTTTCCCAAATGTTTATGAATGCCATTTTCCAAAAGGTTGTGGAGATTTCCATTTCTCCAAAAGGTTATGGCATCGTTTCTCCAAAAGGTTATGATCTAAAAGGTTAGGTAGGTTAAGGTCAATGTAAATCACCTGGGGCATCTTAGATGGAGGGTGATTAATAAGTAATTAAAGATGATGATGATAACGATAATGAAGGATGCCCCCTGACTTGAAGTCCAGTCGTGTCCGACTGCTGCTCATCTCCATTTCTAAGCCAAAGAGCCAGCATTGTCCGTAGACACCTCCAAGGTCATGTGGCCACAGGCATGACTGCATGGAGCACCGTTACCTTCCTGCTGGAGCAGTACCTATTCATCTACCCACATTTGCATGTTTTTGAACTGCTAGGTTGGCAGAAGCTAGGGCTGACAGCGGAAGCTCACACCACTCCCCGGAATCGAACCTGAGACCTTTCGGTCAACAAGCTCTACTGAGGTCGCAGGTTCGATTCCGGGGAGCGGCGTGAGCTTCTGCTGTCAGCCCCGGCTTCTGCCAACCTAGCAGTTCGAAATCAGCGCTTTAACCCACTGCGCCACCGGGGTCCCTTCTAAAAGGTCATACCTTTCCAAATTCCATCCAGAGGCCCTGACCACCTTCCTCCCCTTGGGCGGGGGTCAGCCCCTTCCCTAGCAGATAGCTGACCATTCCCTTGACTTTCCATTGACCAGGCCTCTTGAGCATCCCTTTGCCTTCCAGCTGCTGCATCTATCAATCTGTTTTCCTATGTTTCAGTGTGCTTATACGTGTGTGTTTACATTTTTCTTACTGAGTCTCCCTCCGCTTCCCCTGCAGGTGCGCTCTACCTGGACCAGTGTCCCCGCCAGCCGCTGGTGCCCATCTACCTGTTGGTCCTGAGCGCCGTGTCCCTCCTCCTCCTCCTCCTGGGCTGCGTCTCCTGCAAGGAGGGGGGCTCCGACTGGCCCAGGGCCCTGGCCCACCACCTGCGCGTCACCTGCCTCCTCTTCCTCTGCGCCTGGTTCATCGCAGGTGAGGGACCACAAGCCCCCTCCCACTCCCCAAAGGGAAGGGGGTGGAGGGGGAGAGGGGAGGTCAAGAAATGCCCCAGAGGGGTGCCCGGCTACCTTCCTTGTCCAGCTCCTGGCTGAACCACCTTTTCCACAACACATCACTCTATGTCCAAGTAGTCCAGTAAGTTAAAGCTTATTGATAATAATAATAATAATAATAATAATAATAATAATAATTTATTTATACCCCGCTACCATCTCCCCAAGGGACTCAGTACGGCTTACATGAGGCTGAGCCCACAATACATCAGTAATAAAAACAATAACAACAGTAATACAAACAATATAATAAAACTCATAACAAAAAAATAAGCAATAAACATTAACAGTAACAACAACAACAACAACAATAATAATAATAATAATAAACTTTATTTATACCCCGCATCTGCTGGTACAATCTTTTGCTCTCATAAAGGATTGTACTAGCTGAAGCCACTTAAAAGTCCTCACTCCCTCCCGTGACATCACTCCGCACACACCTGCTTTTCCTTTCCTTATCTCTAAGCCTCTGAGAAAAACGCATCTGTCTCTGTGTTACATGTTGACTATATATAATAAATAATAAACTATATTTATATACTAATGAAAAATTAGTATATAAAGAAATAAGCAATTTATAAAGAAAGGTCAAAGTTCAAAAAGCCATTCCAAAAGAATCTTCGAAGCCAGGGGACAGATCCATCTTGTCTCCTGCATATGTCATCAGTTGGGGACCCCTTCCCCCCAACACCAACTGGTGCTCTGGGCCAGAGTGAAGAGAGAGGGGGCCAGGAAGACAGTTCCACCTTGTCTCCTGTGCTATGCTAATAATATAATATAACATCACATCACACCTCACACACCTCACACACCACACCACACCCATCTCACACACACACACCCCACACACACACCCCACACACCCCCACACCCACACACCCCACACACACACACCCACGCCCCCCACACACACCCCACACACACACCCCACACACACACCCCACACACACACACCCCACACACACACACACCCACACCCCACACACACACCCCACACACACCTCACACACCACACACACACACACACACACTCACACACACACCCCCAACCACCCCAACACCCCCCCACACACCCACACCCCACACACCCCACACCCCACACACCCACCCCCACACACACACACCCACACACCCCACACACACACCCCACACACACACCCCACACACACACACACCCACACCCCACACACACACCCCACACACAAACTCACACACACACACCACACCACACACACACACACACACACACACACACACATCACACACACACCCTGCACCACCCCAACACCCCCCACACACTCCACACCCCCCACACCCCACACCCCCTCACACCCCACACAACATAACATAACATAGCGTAATATATCTTTCCTGTCCAATCTCCCCTTATGAACCTGCCAGGACTTTAAGATCGTCTGGGGAGGTCCTGCTCTCGATCCCACTCTTGTCACAAGCACGTCTGGCGGGGACCAGAGGCAGGGCCTTCTCAGTGGTGGCCCCTCAGCTATGGAATGCCCTCCCCAATGAAATTAAATCAGCCCCCACTGTATTAACATTCTGGAGGAAAGTCAAGACTTGGCTTTTTGAGCAAGCGTTTGCAAGTACAGTGTGACTGGCACAGGAAATGGAACGATTAAGCAATGTAATTGACTAATGTTTTCAGTAAGGAGATGCTAATGATATATGTTTGTTGTTAATTTTGCTATGGTTTGATAATATTTTAATTTTTTAAAATTGTATTTTATGGTCTTGGAACCAACTGTGAACCGCCCCGAGTCACCTGAGGGCTGAGAGGGATGGTATACAAATATAGCTAATAATATGATATTATAATTATATATTTATATTACAATATAATGGCATAGTACAATATAGTAATACTTAATACTGATATTGTAGTATGCTAATAGAATCATAGATCATAGAATCCTAGAATCAAAGAGTTGGAAGAGACCTCCTGGGCCATCATCCAGTCCAACCCCATTCTGCCAAGAAGCAGGAATATTGCATTCAAAGCACCCCTGACAGATGGCCATTCAGCCTCTGCTTAAACGCTTCCAAAGAAGGAGCCTCCACCACACTCCCTCCAGGGCAGAGAGTTCCACTGCTGAACGGCTCTCACAGTCAGGAAATTCTTCCTCATGTTCAGATGGAATCTCCTCTCTTGTAGTTTGAAGCCATTGCTCCATTGCGTCCTAGTCTCCAAGGAAGCAGAAAACAAGCTTGCTCCCTCCTCCTCCTCCCTGTGGCTTCCTCTCACATATTTATACATGGCCCTCATCATATCTCCTCTCAGCCTTCTCTTCTTCAGGCTAAACATGCCCAGCTCCTTAAGCCGCTCTTCATAGGGCTTGTTCTCCAGACCCTTGATCCTTTGAGTTGCCCTCCTCTGGACACATTCCAACTTGTCAATCTCTCTCTTGAATTGTGGTGTCCAGAATTGGGCACAATATTCCAGATGTGGTCTCACCAAGGCAGAATAGAGCATGGGGAGCATTACTTCCCTAGATAGTAATAGTAATGATAGCATTGGAAGAGACCGCCAAAGACCATCTAGTCCAACCCTCCTTCTTTCTGCCTTCATGTAGGAAAAGCACCATCAAAGCGCCACCAGCCCCCATGACAGATGGCCATCCAGCCTCAATATTATTATTATTATTATTAATAATAATAATAATAATATATAATATATAATATAATATTATATTATTATTACTATTATTATTATTGGAGCCCCTAGTGGTGCAGTGGGTTAAACCATTGTGCCACGATACTCCTCTTGATGCAGGCCAAAATCCCATTGGCTTTTTTTACTGGCACATCACATTGTTGGCTCATGTTTAGCTTGTTGTCCACGAGGAGGACTCCAAGATATTTTCACAGATTCTCCCCGGATTTGAACCTGCGACCTGTCGGTCTTCTGTCCTGTTGGCACAATGGTTTAACCCACTGCACCACTAGGGGCTCCAATAATAATAGTAATAATAATAGTAATAATAATAATAATAATAATATTGAGGCTGGATGGCCATCTGTCATGGGGGATGGTGGCGCTTTGATGGTGCTTTTCCTACATGAAGGCAGAAAGAAGGGGGTTGGACTAGATGGCCTTTGGCGGTCCCTTCCAATGCTATCATTACTATTACCATTATTATTAGAAACACAAGATTAGGACACAGCAAACAAGATCACTATGCTGGTTGTTGTATTGGATCACACGTTGGACACTTCCCAAGTGTCTAGGATGCATAATAAATAATAATAATAATAATAAATATTATTATTACTATTATTATTATTATTGAGGCTAGATGGCCATCTGTTGTGTGTGTGTGTGTTTGTGGGGGGGGGGGGGGCTTTGATGATGCTTTTCCTGCATGAAGGCAGAAAGAAGGGGTGTGTGGACTAGATGGCCTTTGGCGATCCCCTCCAAGTCTCATTGTTCTGTGCTTCTCCCCCTCCGCAGGCAGCGTGTGGGTCTACTCCATCTACCCGCCGGACTTTGAGGCGAAAGGGCCCCACGGCCGGGCCTTCTGCCAGCGCACGCTCTTCCTCTTTGCCTTCGGGGTGACCACCGCCCTGCACGCCGCCCTGGCCGCCGCCCTGTTCTTCTCCCTCTGCCTCCTGGGCGCCGTCTTCCTCTTTGGGGTCCTCCTGCCCCACGGTGGGCACGGGGACCGGGGCGGGCCATAGGTGACCCCTACGGAGCATCCGGCCATGGGTGGGCCCCTTCCACCCATGGCCAGAGCCCTTGTTCCTCCTTCTTAATACAATGTCTACCTCCCTGTACAGGATGGGTGTTGTCTCTTCTGCCTGCGCAGGAATGTCATGAGTCTTTTTGGACCTTAAGAATGACCCACTTCGAATGGGGAAGAGTGGGCCAGGTGCACAGGTGCCCGTTACTGGGTTGACAATAGCTATCCTGGTGACACAGCATCACGTTCAGGTGCATTCACTCACCACCCATACACTCCACATCCATGCTCACCATCCCTCCCCCATTCTGGCCTCATTTTAGAGTTTTTTTTAAATACTGGTAGCCAGATTTTGTTCATTTTCATGGTTTCCTCCTTTCTGTTGAAATTGTCCACATGCAAATGAACAAAATCTGGCTACCAATATTAAAAAACTCTAAAATGACAACAGCACAACAACAGAGAGGAAACAAACAAGGACATCTAATCACCTCTCAACAAAAGTTTGCTCCAGGCACTGTCAGGCCATTATATGCTAATCAAGGTGGTCAGTTGAAATATTCCCACCCAGCTCCAGCAGACAAGAGTCCTTTGTCCCACCCTGGACATCATTCCACAGATATATAAACCCATTTTCCTACCTCCAACAGACCTCACTACCTCTGAGGATGCTTGCCATAGATGCAGGCGAAACGTCAGGAGAGAATGCCTCTAGACCATGGCCATACAGCCCGAAAAAAACCTACAACAACCCATTATACAATTCGTTAAACAATAAATTTTATTTATTTATTTATTTACTGTATTTGTGTACCGCCCTTCTCATCCAATCAACGATTCAAGGTGGTTTCCAACAAATCAGTACATATAAAAACATAATACAGATTAAAACATTAAACAATATAAAACACCACAGAAGCAATAAATTATAATAAAATCTTGCTTCCAGCAAAAAAAATAATGCAAACAACTCTATACACTCCAACAAGAAAGATGCTGGAAGAATGACAGACTGTGACTTTGAATACACAGCACTTATTTCATTCTTTGTGGGAAGTTTGGCCCAATTCTATCGTTGGTGGGGTTTAGAATGCTCTTAGGTTGTAAGTCAACTATAAATCCCAGCAACTACAACTCCCAAATGTCAAGGTCTATTTTCCCCAAACTCCACAAGTGTTGACATCTGAGCATATTGAGTATCCATGCCAAGTTTGGTCCAGATCCATCATTGTTTGAGTCCACAGTGCTCTCTGGATGTAGGTGAACAACAACTCCCAAACTCTGGCCCACCAAACCCTTTGAGTATTTTCTCTTGGTATTGGGAGTTCTGTGTGACAAGTTTGGTTCAATTGCATCGTTGGTGGAGTTCAGAATGCTCTTTGATTTTAGGTGAACTATACATCCCAGCAACTACAACTCCCAAATGTCAAGATCTATTTTCCCCAAACTCCAGCAGTGTTGACATCTGAGCATACTGAGTATCCGTGCCAAGTTTGGTCCAGATCCATCATTGTTTGAGTTTACAGTGCTCTCTGAATGTAGGTGAACTACAACTCCCAAACTCAAGGTTAATGCCCACCAAACCCTTCTAGGGTCTTCTTTTGGTCATGGGAGCTCTGTGTACCAAGTCTGGTTTAATTCCTTCATTGGTGGTGTTCAGAATGCTCTTTGATTGTAGGTGAACTATAAATCCCAGCAATTACAACTCCCAAATGTCAATGTCTATTTTCCTCAGTCTCCGCCGGTGTTCACATTTGGGCGTATTGAGCATTGGTGCCAAGTTTGGTCCAGGTCCATCATTGTTTGAGTCCACAGTGCTCTCTGGATGTAGGTGAACTACAACTCCCAAACTCAAGATCAATGCCTACCAAACCCTTCCAGTATGTTCTGTTGGTGATGGGAGTTCTGTGTGCCAAGTTTAGGTCAATTCCATTGTTGGTGGAGTTCGGAATGCTCTTTGATTGTAGGTGAACTATACGTCCCAGCAACTACAGCTCCCAAATGGCAAAATCAATCCCTTCCACCCACTCACCCTACCAGTATTCAGATTTGGGCTTATTGGGTATTTGTGCCAAATTTAGTCCAGTGAATGGAAATGCATCCTGCAGATCAGATATTGACATTGTGATTTATAACAGGAGCAAAATTAGAATTATGGAGTACCAACGAAAATAATGGTTTGGTTGGGGGTCACCACAAGATGAAGAATTGTGTTGGGGGTCACGGCATTGGGAAGGCTGAGAACGGCTGTGCTAGGGGGTCAGTACACACTCAAAAGTGCTGGTTCTCATTCGTGCACATTTTGCATTGTGCGTTAGCATGCCTTGTGCATGGGTCCCTAGGCCAGCTCCCCTCTGGAGCAATGCCTTGGCTGGATGCTGAACGTGGACGCTACGGAAGTGCTCAAGAGACAACGTTGGGCTCCTTCCCTTGCAGGGGCCGTCCAGCAAGGCAGGCACCTGAGCAGAGGCACATCTTGCTTGTTAATCAATAACACAAATAATGTGCAGCTGGTGTCTTCAAATACAATGTACTCCCAAATCATATCAGACAGAAATGGAAGTGAGGCCACGCCAGGAAGACTAGCCACGCCAGGACAACGCCCACCGTCACTCCAGGAGGACAACAGCCACCTCGACTCCCAGTTGTGGGGTTCCCTGCCAGCCAATGTCTAACTCAGGCCTGGGCCACCTTCAGCCCTCCAGGTGTTTTGGACTTCAACTCCTACAATTCCCAACAGCGTATCTGTCTCTTAGGAACTGTGAGAGTGGGAGTCCGAAACCTAAATGGATTGGTACAGCCAGAGGTATCTTGGTAGACCGTGGGGAGAGGGCCAAAATGCAACTGGGGAGGGACACAGGATATGGCCAACTAGCCCCAGATGGGAGGACGCAGCTAGCTCAAAGCTGAAAAAACAACTGGGTGGCCATCTGTCAGGGGTACTTTAAATGTGCTTTTCCTGCAGGGCAGAAGGGGGCTGAACTAGGTGGCCTTTAAAGATCTCTTCCAACACTATTATTATTATTATTATTATTATTATTATTATTATTAACATAAGATGACTCCACAGCAGACACTTATTATTATTAATTATTATTGTTGTTGTTGTTGTTGTTGTTAGAAATACAACAAGATGAGTCCACAGTAGACACTTTATTATTATTATTATTAACATAAGATGACTCCACAGCAGACACTTATTATTATTAATTATTATTATTGTTGTTGTTGTTGTTATTAGAAATACAACAAGATGAGTCCACAGTAGACACTTTATTATTATTATTATTATTATTAACATAAGATGACTCCACAGCAGACACTTATTATTATTAATTATTATTATTATTATTGTTGTTGTTATTAGAAATACAACAAGATGAGTCCACAGTAGACACTTTATTATTATTATTATTATTATTAACATAAGATGACTCCACAGCAGACACTTATTATTATTATTATTATTATTGTTGTTGTTGTTGTTGTTAGAAATACAACAAGATGAGTCCACAGTAGACACTTTATTATTATTATTATTATTATTAACATAAGATGACTCCACAGCAGACACTTATTATTATTAATTATTATTATTATTGTTGTTGTTGTTATTAGAAATACAACAAGATGAGTCCACAGTAGACACTTTATTATTATTATTATTATTATTAACATAAGATGACTCCACAGCAGACACTTATTATTATTAATTATTATTATTATTATTGTTGTTGTTATTAGAAATACAACAAGATGAGTCCACAGTAGACACTTTATTATTATTATTATTATTATTAACATAAGATGACTCCACAGCAGACACTTATTATTATTATTATTATTGTTGTTGTTGTTGTTGTTAGAAATACAACAAGATGAGTCCACAGTAGACACTTTATTATTATTATTATTATTATTAACATAAGATGACTCCACAGCAGACACTTATTATTATTATTATTATTATTGTTGTTGTTGTTATTAGAAATACAACAAGATGAGTCCACAGTAGACACTTTATTATTATTATTATTATTATTAACATAAGATGACTCCACAGCAGACACTTATTATTATTAATTATTATTATTGTTGTTGTTGTTATTAGAAATACAACAAGATGAGTCCACAGTAGACACTTTATTATTATTATTATTATTATTAACATAAGATGACTCCACAGCAGACACTTATTATTAATTATTATTATTATTGTTGTTGTTGTTATTAGAAATACAACAAGATGAGTCCACAGTAGACACTTTATTATTATTATTATTATTATTATTAACATAAGATGACTCCACAGCAGACACTTATTATTATTAATTATTATTATTATTGTTGTTGTTGTTATTAGAAATACAACAAGATGAGTCCACAGTAGACACTTTATTATTATTATTATTATTATTATTAACATAAGATGACTCCACAGCAGACACTTATTATTATTAATTATTATTATTGTTGTTGTTGTTGTTATTAGAAATACAACAAGATGAGTCCACAGTAGACACTTTATTATTATTATTATTATTATTAACATAAGATGACTCCACAGCAGACACTTATTATTATTAATTATTATTATTATTGTTGTTGTTGTTATTAGAAATACAACAAGATGAGTCCACAGTAGACACTTTATTATTATTATTATTATTATTATTAACATAAGATGACTCCACAGCAGACACTTATTATTATTAATTATTATTATTATTATTGTTGTTGTTATTAGAAATACAACAAGATGAGTCCACAGTAGACACTTTATTATTATTATTATTATTATTAACATAAGATGACTCCACAGCAGACACTTATTATTATTAATTATTATTATTATTGTTGTTGTTGTTATTAGAAATACAACAAGATGAGTCCACAGTAGACACTTTATTATTATTATTATTATTATTAACATAAGATGACTCCACAGCAGACACTTATTATTATTAATTATTATTATTATTGTTGTTGTTGTTATTAGAAATACAACAAGATGAG